TTCTTTGAAATTTGCTGAAACACTTACCCCAAGAGTTCTAGAGATTTTAGCTACTAACTTCGAGGTCTCTGCTGGTTATGATGTCCGAGCAATCGACACGGCTCAGTTTCAAATCAGAACCAACGATGGAATCTCTTTCCATGTTGACCTTACCACAAAAACATGTAGCTGTTTCGAGTTCTAAAAGCTGAGCATTCCTTGTTCTCATGCTATTGCTGCGGTTGTTTTTTCAAATGTTCGAGTTGATTCATTGGTGGCAAGCGAATACTCATCAAATCATTGGAGGTTGTCATATGGAAGCACCATAAACCCAGTTATAGAGATTGATGGAGTAGATGACATAGATTCGGCACTGTCAACCCTCACTCTTTTCCCACCAACAACAAGACGCCCACCTGGTAGGCCGCGAAAGAAACACTTCTTATCTCGTGGAGAAATCCATGTAAGAGCACGGTGATGACAAATACATTGATGCATACTAAATTGGTTTACTAACTTCTTTTTTTTCTAAAAACATTAGGGGAAGATCTTGAGGCGCAAGACTGTATGCAGCCGGTGTAAGGGGCTTGGCCACAACCGGACCACTTGTAAAATGGCAATATGAAAACGTGACATGTAGCAGGGGCAAAGTAAGAGTTGATGAGTCGTCGAATTATCTATGCTGCACCTGGGTCAACAAAATTTTCATGTTTAAAATATTGTATAATATTAACTTATCATCCCAGATGAGACATGTTCTAACTCTGTGTATAAATAATGTTGATTCTCTTCATATATGAAATATGTTTAATATTGTTTCCCTATAAAACTTCTCATAACCGTCTAATTTGTTACTTATTCCGATATATGATATCTTAGCCGGTTTGCGAGAAGAAAAACATTAATATGTTAAATAGTATTATAACACCATTTTTCTTGGACGACATAGTTGGTTGCGTATTAAAGACATAGAAATATTTAGCAAAATCATGTAGTTTGTTTAATTAGTCCCTATTCAACACACTTAATTAATGTATAAAAAATTTTCGACCAAGTTCCATATATGAATTATGATTAAAACAGTCTTAACTTAAAACTTTTCATTAAGCGTCTAATTAGTGACTTATTCGGTTATATGATATCTTATCCGGTCACAAAAATTTTAAATGATCATGTAGTTTGTTTAAGTAGTCCAAATTGAAAGCCACTTACTAAACAAAACATACAAATATTTTTCATAAAGAAGTTATAACATAGCCGAACACAATAGAAAACATAGGAAACAAACTAATGAAAAGTAGAGTTCAAAGAATAGAGAAGCGGGTTTCTTCAAGATAGATCAGATTGAACCTTAAATTAAGCTCTCTTTACCCTATAATTGCTCGCAATTCTCCTCATACATCATAACAACTAGCCTCTATGACTCTGATGGAATAACGTCAGCTGTGATGCATCGACAAACTTCTAAACCACCAATTGCATGAGCTTGCATTAAGAGGACAACCGTTACAGCAAAATCAATATGGTTCCCATTTTGCGGGATACTTTTAGACCTCTCAACAGAAAACGCTTTCAATTCTTTGGTTGTTTGAAACCGGCCAACCTGCTTAAGAAGATATGGGAACAACAGAGCTATCGAGCCTAGCTCCTTTGAAATTGCGTTATCATTGCGGAGGCCGATATCATAGTCTAAAATGATGATGCTAGAAGAGGGGCAGTCAACACAAACACCAACCCAATGGGTTTTATCGAAGTTAAACGGGAAGTAAAACCGATCAACATCAACATTCTTAATGTTCTCCTCACTGAAGTACTGCACACCTTGCTTAGGGAACAGGTGCGTTTCCTTCTTTTGGTTCTTCGAAAACTTGGAGTACTTTTTCACAAGACATGAGACAAATTTGTTGTCGAAAAACTCAAACTTTTTCGGCACGTAAGCCCCAAATTTCCCCAAAAGTGACCATGTATGGTGGATAAGTAAGTCAACCATCTGAAAAGAAAGAAACAATGTTTACCGGTAAAGTATCCAAATGCATGATGTTTATAATTTGGAATAATAGGTAACACACTAACCTTTGGCTGCAAAGACTTTGTTCGTCCAGCAAAGTCAATAAAGTCCTTGGATGCCACATTAGCTCCCACCAGACGTAAGTTTTTGCGAAAATCATATTATAGAATTCAAACCGGCTAAGTTTTCTAAAAACGCTATACAATTTACTAGCCGGCTATGCTAAAAGATACCTTAGTTTATAAATGTTAGCTTTCATATTCATTAATAACAACCAATTTAATTGAAAATATTACAACCAACTTTCCGAGCATCCTTTAGCTTCTCATTCAATTTCACAAACTTGTTGGCGTAAATCTCAGCTTGACCATCCCCAATACCAAAGAGATGGGATTCCCTAGCCCGATGAAGCATCCGCTTATCACACCGATAGTCCCCAACAAGACTAGCTGGAATGATTTTTTGCCTCTTGCTTTTATGACAAAGAATGCCGCCATCGCCTTAACCAACTGAATCCCCAACTATCTGAGCCGCAACATCAGTCTCTCTACCGCCAGGTTGCCCAATTGCTCGATCTTCCTGAGATAGGCCATGTAGGAGACGGTATTAGTAGCAGTGACTGATAATTCTGAAATTCTAGCAAAATATAATATCAAAATTTGATATCAATACCTCATTTACGGTTAGGCGTTGTAGACAATTATCAATACTCTTAGCACCAACATCTCCGGATGCCATCCCCTACAATTTAATTCCATTATTAGATTCAATTCAAACTGAGATAAGATTTTAAACAAAACACAAAACTAATCAGCTATTCTTACATTGACTATCAAAGGTGCAACAACATTATTGTCTCCAACTTCAGAAGAATTACCATTGAGGCCAGCAACATCTTCGACACCACCAGCATCCTACAAGATATATTGCAAAAGCTCGACCTAATCAATTTCTATGTTGGGAGTTCTCTATAATAAAACCCTAAAACATAAGTAAGTTAAGTTAACAAAGAAAATTTCATTTTCTTTTATGGACACTAATTTTTTCACAACCACAGAATACATACTATATCAATTGCGACCTGTTTGAGATCTCCAAGTACACCTGAAATGATACTCCGAACTTCTTCAGGACAGATCACATTTACCTGGTTCTGATGAGGATTCCCCGCAGATACGTCAGACTCCCCATGCTTCTTCTGCAAAATGTTGGCATCGCTTTTCTCTCCATTTCTCGCATTGTTGCCCGTTCTTCCCACTGACTTCTCCAAAACATCCATCACACCCTCAATCACATCTACTTTCATCTTGTTTAATTCACTCGCCAATTCCAAAGTGATGTCAGGCTCAAGAAGCGTAATTGCAGTTCTCAGCTCCTCCATTTTTACCAGAGACTCGTTTAACTTCACCTCTAATTGATTTATCTCACCCCTCATTTTATCAGCAACAATCTCTGCAAACTACTGTAAATCAAATTCAGTAAAAGTCAACCCTTCGACATTACCAACACCTTGTCCAGCCATCTCATAACAGCATGCACCTTTCTTTTGTTTCGCTTTTGCGTACTTCTCTTTCGTCTCTTTATTCATTCGAATAACATCCGCTTTAGTAGCCCCACCGGAGAACATAGAACTGCAGAAATTATGCTCTTTGTTGATGAGTTGAAGCATGTTACTGACCTTCACATCTTCTTCATCATCAGACCACAAAAGCTCTGTCTCATCAAAATTGGTATCGCCATCATCTGCTATTATACTGTTAACTAGAGTTTGCATTATAAATAAATAGTTGTTACCAGATTGATTATCCGTAATCAATATATATTACCAGTAATATATAAATTTTTTGGGTTACCTTAGGATCATTGTGTAGATCTCTGGCATGTGAAGGGCTAAGGCTTATTTTTTTCTCCCGCGGAGACTCTTTCTGACTCTCTCCTTCTGACTTAGACGACGATGTAGAGTTAACTTGAACAACGTCAACCAA